AGGCTGTACTCAATCTGATTTGTGATCCCAAAGCTTTTTGTAGACTTTCCCAGAACTTTGAAGTAAAACGACTGTCGCAGTCAGAAATAATGGACAATGGAACACCATGCCTAGTCACGATTTCCTTGATGTATAATTGAGCCAATCTTTCCAATGAATAAGTCTCTTTCATTGGTAGGAAATGTGCGGATTTTGATAAGAGATCCACTATTACCCATATCGCATCATAACCTTTTGGTGTTCGGGGTAACTTCATGATGAAGTCCATTGTAATGTGATCCCATTTCCAGACTGGTATTTCTAATGATTGCAGGTTTCCATAGGGTCTCTATTGTTCAATTTTAACTTGTAAGCAAGTTAAACATCACTCCACATACCTTGCTATGTCATTCTTGAGACCTGGCCACCAATAAAATACCTTCAAATCTTTATACATTTTGTTAGTACCTGGATGTACTGAGTAACGGGACTTGTGACTTTCATTTAGAATAGTTTCCCGTATATTCCCATAAATTGGTACCCAAATTCGGCCGTGGAAGCATAAAATTCCTTTGTTGTTGGTTTCCATGGTAGAAATCATTTTTCCCACCTTTTAAGATTTATGGTTTTCTTCTTTAACAACTTCTTTCTAGTTTTTCAAAATTACTCGGTGAAGGTCTGGAGTTAAACAGATTTTCATTGCTCTGATCGTGCCACTTCTTTCCTTTCGGCTCAAAGCATCGACCACCACGTTTGCCTTTCCTGGGTAGTAGAGAATCTCACAATCGTAGTCGTTAACAAGTTCAATCCATCGCCTCTATCTCATATTCAGATCCTTCTGGTTGAACAAATGTTGTAAGCTTTTGTGATCTGTAAAGATTTGGCATTTGGTTCCTAAAAGATAATGCCTTCATATCTTTAGTGCGAAGACTACGGCTGCTAGTTCCATGTCATGGGTGGGGTATTGTTTTGCATGATCCTTTAGTTATCAAGATGCATAAGATATTACTTTTCCTCTCTATATCAATACACAGCCTAATCCCAACTTTGATGCATCGCTGTATACTGGTGTGCTAAAATCGTAAGTGTGCACACAGTAGGCATACAATCCCCAAAGTGGTGGTGCAAGTGCACGCCGACACTATGATCGCTTCAAGTAATAGAGTGGTATAGTACCAAGATCGTTTCCACAGGGACCGGACTTACTGAGAATCAGAAACTTTCATGAACTTCTGGAACAATGCTTCGAGTTGAGAAAATATTTTAGTTTTGATTGGTGCAAAACGTTAAAATACGAAATAAACCTTTAATATTAAAAGACGGGTATGGGTGTAAGCTTTTATTAAGAATATTGCAGGAACAATTTGGTCACAAACTCATGGGATTTCTATAAGAACTCCTATCTCTCGAAAGTGAATTCTTATATACTGTGCCCACAAAGTGCCCACAAAGCGTCCAGTTTTATCAATCTTAAACTTGCCGAATTATCTACTAGATAAAAAGATATCTGGTTCCACTAGCCTGAAGATATATACTCACAATGTATTGTAGCATAAACTCGACTAATATCTGAACAAAAGCTAAAAACATGCAAAACCCACATCTCTGCATGATTATCAAAGACTCTCTCAAATCTTTGTGCATCATCTAAGCCGTTTTTTGGATCCGCCCATCTCTGGACCAAGGATCTAATATTAACACTTCAAAGTGATCGACTTATCTGCGTTGAGCTTAAGTCTCAACTTAAATGACCAAGCTTAAGAATCAATAAAAATGGCAACACCCAAGTGTGCCCTTAAATTCTTAAGCTTGACTCACACCCACACCCAAAGGGGTGCTTAGCTCATAATGAAATCAGAAAACATAACGGAAACAGAAGAAGAAAGATGCATCAGAAATACTTGAACTGAAATTAATACTTAAACTGTTGCCCACAGAGGGCATACAATACACAGAGGCGAGAATGAATGACCAACTACGAAATTTAAATTACAAACAGAAATTAAACTGGATCTACTGCTACAAAGCTTGAGAGAATGCTCCAAGGTTTCTTGGCTAAATTGTTGATGGAGTGGATGCCTTTCAATTGAGAGAAAGTCTTCAAAATATAGGGAAAAGTGAGGACCGGACAAACCCTTTATCCAAAGGATAAAAATCTGCATTGTCCAAAGGGTAAGGACCTCCCATCACCACATGTCTACTTTATCTCTGGCCTTGTCACTTCTTCTTTGAAAGGTTGCAAAAGGTAAAAGTACTCCAATAAATTATGAAAAGAAGGCTTTTCAATGAAAATAAAGGTAGGAGTACTTTCTTGTCTTTTCATCACTTAACTAGGTCCATTCTTCCAAGCAACTCAATGTTTTGATCTGAACTTAGAATTAAATCTCATTAATATCCAAGAGAATGAATATCTAAATTTTGTTCAAATCCAACTAGATGCAAATCCGTCATAGGATGAATGTGAGCAGAAAGTGGGCATTTTACCAACAGTAATGGGTTTTAAAGAAAATGATTAAATTCTTGATCTTTCATCACCTCTTAACATATTTTGGACCAAAAATATAGGATATGAGCAAAATGTGTACCAAAGATAAAATAAAATAGGGGTATTGAACAACAAATAACTCTCACAAAATGAGAGTTATCACACCCCAAACTTGAGGTATTACTTGTCCTCAAGTAAAAGAAAATAAATAAAAAGACACCTAAAGAAAGGAACAAGAACGAAACTTACAGAAGGTGTTGGAAATTCGTCTAGTAAAGAGGATGTACAACTTCCTTGCTTGATCTTCGTAGTGTTGCCGTTAATCAGTAGGGCTTTAGGGTTAGTGTTTTTGGCAATGACAGCGTGTATCCCTCCTCCAAACTTATCCTATACTACAAAAAGGTTTGAAACATAAGTTCTCATCGATTCACTTTTGAGTACTTGGAAAAAGTTCGTGACCCATTCTTGTCATAAACTTGCCCTTTTGGATAACCGGACTTTTTTTTTTCGTCTTCCAATTTTCCGAAGACCGATTCTTCTATATATATATATATATAATTTTTTTTCTTTTTTTTTTCATACCTCCCAATTTTTCGAAGGTATATTTTTTTTTTGAACACATCCCCCCAAACTTAATATTGATAATGTCCACATTGTTGCCAAAGGGACCAAAACGGTACGGGTTGGGTGCAAGGGGAAAAGTGTTTGGGCTTAAAATAGAAGGAGGGCCTACATCCTTTTAACTTTAACACTATGAAAAAAAATCATCCAAGGATGTTGTACCTGAAATAAATAATGGAACTAGACAAAGCAAAAAGAAATCCAACACCATTTGTCATAAATATTCACATAAAAGAGATGACACTCCGTAAAGCATACACAAAAGACGGAATAAAAAGTGTATCTGTACCCCAAAAGATACCCAAAAATAATGTTTTTAGAGGTTATGATCAAAAGTCGAGAATTAACCAATTTCTGTAAAACTGTTTACTGTGGGCAAGCAGGGACTGCATCAGCCTCCTTGGAGCTTTGGACAACGGGAGCAGCAACGGAAACAGCAACAGTAGGAATGATCGCAGTCGTGCTAGGTAATGTAGCAGCAACAGGAACATGAGGAGCAGGAGCAAAAGGCACAGCAACAATAGAAGTAACCGGCATGTGGGTCTGCAAGGGTGGGAAGCACCGAACTTGGGGAGGGTAAAGACCGCTCGGGTACCTTGGAAGTTGGGCTGTCAAGAGGGTATCTTGACGCCCGTAAAGCTGTCGTTCCACCCGGTTCCAATCTCTAGTATATGCCCAAAAGCGAGCACTCTTCTTTTCCAAATCAGAGACTCGGTCTTCTACACTCCCCACCTTCTTCAATATCGCCTCCAACTTTTGATTCGTCTCTTCCCATTGGAGTGCCAAAACGGACAACCAAGTGGCCGACCCATACCCCAAGCCTAAAGGATTTCTTTGAGGTGGCTCGGATAGGCTAGCCTCATCATTGCTATATCTTGGGATTTCCGCATCTGGTTCGATCATGGGGACAACGGGTGGCTCTGATACATGCGGGGCGGGTGGCTCGGTAAGTGCAACATTCGGCGACTCCGAAACAGCGGCAACCTGTGGCTCGGGAAGAACGACCGGTGACGCATTTGGTTGAACGGTGGATGGCACCACGGGCTCCTTCACATCTCTCTCAACCGGGATGGAATTCTGCAAATTTAAATAGGGCCGAGAGGCTCTATGCCGACGGTCGACCGTGTTCTGTCTCAACAAGGGAGAGCCGACAACAATTGAATCCTCCTCATTGGTAGGGACCCTAGCCTTGGCCATAAGCTTTGTGATAAGTGCCGGAAAGACTAAGCGTGAATGCGTCCTCTGAGAAGCGGCCAAAATGGATGCATGGATAATCGGCCCAAGGTCGATTGGCAACTCGCTCATTATGCAATAAAGGAGGACGCATCGGTCCTGTGAGATTGTACTATCATGAACAGTGGGGATTTAATTGTGTCGCAAAAACTAAAATCAAAGTCCCGCTTCCGTGTTTAGATAGCCGGCGAAAATGATTTGGCGCCGGTTGTCCCTCGACCATCCACGATCGGGGAGCGTAAGGAGGGATGCGATATCATCATCGGCAACTTCACGAGTCCCTTTCATAATCTGTGCAAACGAGCATTCCGGCTGTGGGGTGAGTCCAAGGGTCGCATTAAGCTTCGGCCCCGACCAATCAACTATCTTACCCCAAATATTCACCGAAATGCTCTTGGTGGTGCCAATGGTCGCGTAAAACTCGGTTACCCAAGATACATTGGCTCTTAAAGGGGCAACCACCAATTTGTCCCACCGCAAAGCCACCAAATGGTGCCTGATGGCCATAAAAGAGTTGACCAATCGTGGGTCAAAGCCCGTTCAAGGAGAATTTTATTATTTTTGATACGGTTGTACCTCTCATGAAAGGGCATCACCTTTTCTTTCTTTTTCTTTGGGGTTTGCTGCCTCTTCTGCTTTGCTGCTGCTTTGCTGCTGCCTTCCTCTTTTTAGAAGGTTTTGGCTAACTGACTTCCAAAACCTCCTCATCTGGAATTTCTTCCTCAAAATCCTCCCTTTCCTCTTGTTCCTCTTCTTCCTCGGCCACATCTTCAGCATGTTCTAAGTCCTGGGCCATCTCATCCTCATAATCACTGTCTTCAGGTACTGGTTTTGTTAAATGGTTGAGGAATAACAGACTCTGAACTTGCACTATCAAAACTTCCCAAGGAGGTTTATGTGCTCACAGTCTGCCCACTGGGAGCAGTGACTAGTATTTCCTCAACAGGAAGTTCATGTTCTGTTTGAGTCTCAGGGGGTTGCTGTGGTGATTCGTCTAAAGACTCAGGAACAGAAAAAGGGAATAAATCTTCGGGATTGTTGGAGGCATTGGCTTCAAAATCAAAATGGAACTCCTCCCCTAAGGTATCATTAAGGTTTAGGTCAAAATCGTGTATAGTGGGTGGGCCGAGTGGTGTTGAGGGAAGGGGAATAGGGGGCTGTTGAGTGGGTGTAGGGTTAATCGGTGCTGGGATGGGGTTAGATAGAGGAGTGATAGAGGGTGGTACAGTTAGGGCTAGGAAAAGGGGTCTTGGCGTGGGAAGGGTTGCGGCGGCCGGCGGTCGTGAAGTAGACGGACCAACGCCGATGGTGGTGGTGGTGTGAATAATGGTGGAAGGGGTGAAAACGGTGGTAAATAGGGGAGGAGTTTGAGTGATACTAACCGGAGTGACAATGGCATGATACTCGTCGTAGTCGACCCGCACGGTGGATGATTGACCGGCACCGGCGGTTGATGAATGTGTTGCCGGCGGAGCAAAAGCAATGGGGTCCGGCGAGAGGGGGGTTGAGTAGTGAATCGATGGAGCGACTGCTGGCAGTACGGGAGCGGTGGATGATGCGTCGCCGACGACGGTCCGGCGAGTAGAGCGGCGAGCAGGCAGTCGATAAGGGGGCCAACCGGTTGGATTGTTCCTTGTTTTAGCCATGAGAAGAGAGGAGAAGATGAATAGTGAAGTAAAAATGATTTCCTAGTGGAGCCGATGACCTACATATTAGATATTAAACTGATAAAAACAAATACTATATTTTATCGTAACATTCTATAATATTTGAATTGTAATTAGAGAGGTGTGTCAAACCTTGATAGTAGTAACACCAAGATGACAGATAAATAACACATCACCAAGTAGTATAATGGGCATTCTCATATAAAAAATAAAATACCAAACAAGCTGAAAACCCATATATTATATCAAACTAATAACATATAATATATTTGATCTAAACAAAAAAATCTAAGATTCGAGATAGAAATGTTAAACTAAAAACATATATTACCTTTGATCTTAAGCAAAAGGTCGACATCCAAGAAAAATATGTTTGTTTAATTTTTAGTCATTCTTTTTGTAGTAATCTTCCTCTTGCCACTTTCACTCTGTCATCCTATGCAGGATGCAAATAATATTGAGAAAAAAGTTGGTCATTTTCTTTTTGTATCCACCTCCCACATGTCTTTTTCTTATTTGATCCAATGTGGGATGCAAACAATAATGTGAGGAGAAAAAATATTTATAATGCTCAGAAGCTGTCACTTGATTATCCATAGTTATTGCTTTTATATAGATACAAATAAATATATAAAAATATAAATTATAGATATATAAATATTGTTTTTACATCTATAACTTCGACCAATTTTATGATTTTGATTTATCGTCAACTTTATGCTATTTTTTATATTAGCTTCTGATATATAATTTCTTTTATAAAAGATGGCTGGCCAAAAAAAAGGATAATCTAAAAAAAGATGGTTGGCCAAAAAAAAAGATAATCTAAAAAAGAAGGGTACTCGCGCAATGCAACGAGATACATCTTGATTTTAATATTTCATTTTATTCTTTATCTCAGTCGATGTTATAGTATGGTCTTATATGATTTTAGAAAAATGATTATGTTTTTATTTTTGAATAAATAAATTTGAAGATATCATAAAATTTTGACAAAAATATAACGATATTGATATCAAATTAACTATTTAAAATTCATATTTTTTGTGTAATTTTTTAATTCGATTTTTTTATTTATAATTTAATGTAGGTTCAATAACGAAGTAATTTATATTTGGTTTAATAATATAATTTTCTTATAAAGATAATACTTAATTATTTTGTTAGAACTCGATAATTATTCTAATTATATTTTAGATTTTTATTATTTTAAAATGAGATATTTATCCTCTATATGATTATGTTTATCTGCAGTTAGTTATACGAATTCAAACATGGAGCTTTAATAAATTGTACTTATGCATAAGTTACTTGTAATCTTGAACTTTAAGTAATATGCATCAGCATAAAAAATGGTTTTTAAATGTTTTTGTCAAATGCTTTATAAAATAGTATAGATAAGATATCTAACTCCTTTTTATATATTCACTTCCTTATTTTGTATTATTTGGTTGGTTTTGATTTCAACGATGGTTATATATATTTTGTATTATTTGTTTGGTTCATCCTTTAATATATTTTATTGATATTGACATTGGTTGATGATCGATTTCAAATTGATTTTTTTCTTCTTTTACATACTTACATTCGACTTCGAATATATCACATTCTCATGAATTTACGGCAATACCTTAACATGTAAACTTTTTTACCTATAGGTTTATTTTATCTAATTTACTTATAATCATATAATCAAGTTTAATTAATATAAAAAGATTATCATAGGTTCAATTTTAATTATAACGAACTAAAACAATCAATAAATTATTCATTATATTATTTTAAAGTTTTAAATTCAACTTTATAATATAAAGTATATGCTAAAGTCATAATTACCTTTCATTGTTATTTTAAAATCAAATGATATAAAAGAAATTATATAAAAATAGGGTCATCCAAGTAAGATAATCTTATGATCAAACTTCATTAGTTGACACAATGCATGAATCTCATATTTCTTACTTATACACACATCATTATTCCGATCTTTCAATCTCTCACCAATGTGGGATATCTCAAACTCAATCACAATTCCCCAATACCACAGTACTCAATTCTCATGATTTCATATCGATACCTCTTGGTTTTCGTGGTGATCAAAACTTAATTTAAGAAAAAATGTAAAATCCTCGACTCGAGCAGAAGTGTGATGTGTCAGAAAACTCGGAATCATGTTTATATTTTTCACGCCCCGTCTAACACCATAAATCACGCTTTGAAAAATACTAACATCAGATGAAAGCACGCCATTAAGTGAACACTTTCATTCTATGTATAAGTGATATAATAGATACTTAAACTACATTTGTTATTATAAGTACTACAATAATCACAACTTTTGTAAAGAAAAAAAATGTATCATTTGCATTTATTTTGCACAAATTTTTTACCAATTGGTTGGTTTTAATTTCAACGATGACTATAGATTTCAAAGATCTATCACGCATTTATACATCCATCATTATCTTCTAAACTATCATCTGTCTATCAATGTGAGATGATGAAAGTCAACGTTATTTTAAATTTGAGGAATATTCAAACCTCATGTTGACAAGTCATCATCCTTGGTTTCACTTTTATATTTGCATTATAATTTTTACCATTTAGTTGGTTTTAATTTCAACCATGGTATAGATTTCAAAAGACAATCATTCAAATAAGAAAACCTTGTGAGACAAATCTCATGATTTGACACATAGACACCAATCCACCTTTCTCAAACACTTCACTTTGTTCAAATCTTTAAACTCTTCATCAATGTGGGACAATTAAACTCAACCACAATTTATCATATGAGAATACTCAATTCACATGGTGCCACCTCAATACCCCAAGGTTTTCTTATATAGATATAAAGATAAAGTCTTTTTTTTTTCTCCATTTGGTTGGTTTTCATCCCAATCATGGTTATAGATTTCAAATAGGGTCATTCAAAGTAAGACAACCATATGAAACAAACCCCATTAATCGACACAAAGAAACCAATCCATCTTTTTATTCACTTTACTGTGTTGAAATCTTTCAACGCTTCACCACTGTGGAACAACTAAAACTCAATCACAATTCATCATTTGAAAATACTCAATTCTCATTGTGCCACCTCATCACCCCAAGGTTTTACTTTTATAATTCTCATGGTGTCACCTCATCAACCTAAGGTTTTACTTATATATATATATATATATATATATACTGTCTTATTAAACATCTATACTCAAAGTCTTAAACTCTTAATTTTTTTAATACCCAAAATACCCTTTCTTCCTTTACACCCATCCCCTCTCCCAACATTTCTTTACATGCCTTACACTTCCAAGGCATCGATTCCTTCTCCATTCCTTTCTCCCAGACAGCATGCGGTTCCTTCTCCAAGGCAACATGCGGTTCCTTCTCCAAGGCAGCATGCGTTTCCTTCTCCAAACCCACCTCCACCTCTGTTTTTTCTTCTACTTATTTGGTTCATGGCAACCATGCATCACCACCATTTCCACCGTCACATCCCTCCGCACCACCACCGTCAACTGCGCAACCACGCATCACCTCCACTTCCACCCCTTTCAACTCAACCGTCGGCGACACCACAACTGACTCACCTAAAGACCTAGACTCCACTACCCACCGTGTTCCGTCAAGTACTCCGAGTACACACCATGCCAGGACCAAAAACGATCCTTGAAGTTCTCGAGAGACCGGCTTATATACCGTGAAATACATTGCTCAGAGAAAGACGAGCTCCTTAAATGTTGTGTGCCGGCGCTGTTCGGTTACAAGAACCCATTTAAATGGCCGACGAGCAGAGATCTTCTTGGAATTTATAACTAATTCAATCTTATTTTATGTCGACAGATGATCTTCAAGGGACTGAGGGAGAAATAAAGAAGAATTTTTTTACCTCTGTTGACTGGTGAGAAAACCAGTGGAGTGAACGTATAGGGAGAGGGAGAGCCAAAGACCATCGCTACCGGCGTAGCTGTCGCCGTCGCTGCCGCCGTAGCTGTCGCCGATTAGGGTAGGGAGAGCCGAAGAGGGAGTCGTATTTTGTCAATAGGGATTTTGATTTCTGAGTTGGAAGGAGACGATGGGCAAATACAATGGGCTGGACGCATTCTCTAGAGTCTAGACTAAATTAATAGGCCAAAGCCCAAACCCCAACATACATGTATATAAAACGGGGCGGGACGGGACGAAAAGTTTGATTGAGTCGCCGGAAATCTTCGAATGGCGATGCTGAGACGGCCGGAAAAAAAGTTTGTTGTCTTCTACATTTTCCTTCCTCTTCTTCTTCTAATTCTTGTCTTCTTCTGAAATCAAAACAAAAACAAATTTCTCGTGTTTTCTTCCAATGAACACCAGCCATTCCAAACGAGCTTCCCAACTCACTCCAACACCATTTTGTTTGTGGTAACCGTCAGATCGAATTTCAACCACAAATCAAAAACTAGATTAGAAAATTACTATGTTATATCTTTTTAGTTTATTTAAGAAATATCCTTAAATATCTTAAAAGAGTGGTTTACATTGGATCTCATAATTATCACAAACTAATCGGTTATCGTTTGAATGAACTTGATGGGTAGTAATATTGTTGGTGTGATATATATAATATATTCTTTACTTTAGCGGGTATGCATGGTATGTAGATATAGGAGAATTATACTTGATTCTGGGTCTCAAAGTTGCCTGCTTGCTTTATGTAATATCGGTACCCGTCCCCGGCCCCATCCCCGGCTTGAGCCAAGCGAGGATCCCCGTTCCCGTCCCCGGGACCCAATTTTTCAGGGAATCCATCGGGTTACCCGACGGGTCGGGGTTCATTCCCATCCCTAATCTGCATATCAAACACACCCTTAATGAACTTTTTACATCCCGCCGCATTGCGCGGGTAGACAACTAGTATATATATAAAGGTATAATAATATAATATAATTAATTTTGCACTATAATTTCTACCATTTGGTTTGTTTGGTTTCCAACCATAG